AAAAAAAAAAAAAGGAGAAATCTCATTATTCGATTTGGTTCCAGCTATATTTCTACTTCTGTTTGCTCGGAACTCTTCATTAAACCAGATGCAGATGTCCGTCCGGTGAATTGTCGCCGGAGATTGGTCTCAGATCTGTATGTCGCTTCATCTATACTGTATCATGTCTGTGTATTTATGCTTTGTGTATGGCAGCTGTGATTATGTAGATGCAGTTATGGCGCTTGCCTTTGTTGGCTTTTTGTGTACTCAGATAGTTGCTACAACACCCCCAAATTCACGAGATCTCTTATACCGTTTGTCTAATGTGAGGAAACGGTACGACTTGTTATGTGCAGTTGAGGTGTGCTTGATAGAAAAGGTTGCAACTTTAGTAGCACTTCGTGATATTGATTGAAGCTGTTCGTTTCCGCCTCGTTCTGGGTTTCGTACTTTAGCTGATCTTGGATCCAAGTGCATTTTTACGTAAGAACTAGTGTGAAGGATAAGAACTAATGCCAATCTTTTTCTATGTTTTTTATGCAAACATTTTATTTTTGGTTAATGTAGGCTACCTAGCTTTGTTTATTAAGTGTCTGCATCCTGTAATTTCCTCGGTGTTAGTCATGATACGTGTGTTATGACGTCTAAATCCAGTTATGTCTCTAAAAACACTTGAAACGAGACGTTGTGTGATTCCTGATATCCATTTCACCTGAAAGATGGTTTTTTGTATACTTGTATAATGTATGTAGGCAACATAATTGAGGAGGGGGGGAGGGGGGGAGGGGGGAAAGCAACTGGGGAGGTGCTTAGATCAGATGAGAAGGACTGATGTTACTTGCAGTAGAAGGGGGAGGGTTTTTCTCTTCATCAGCTTCAGGATACAGTAAGGGCCTAACCCTCCTTTTGTTAGGCCAGAAAAACGAGGAAAAACCCATGAGAGTGGCTCCGTGGACTCAGTACCAATTGGTGGACCAAGAAACCGATCCCGATACCCAGCTGGCGCCTGGCAAGAACTGTCTTGTCCGCGGGTGTGTCTCCTTCGTGTGCTTCGGTCGAGCCTCCTCAATCACCGGAACTGACGACTCGTGTCCGAAGAAAGTCGGACCCTCTCAGAATCGAGAAGTCCAGCGACCTCAGAAGTTTGATGGTGGTGATGGTGATGATGATGATAGCAATAGAAAGATAGGTATAAGCCGCAAGAGTAGCTTGAAGAAATCGGTAGACTTTGCTGGTGCTATTGTTGATGGGAGCAGCTTTGGAATCTCATGCGAAGAAGACAGCGATGTATCTTGTCGAATAGAAAGGAGGAAAGTTCAGTGGACGGATGCAAGTGGGGGAGAACTTTTTGAGATTCGGGAGTTTGAGACGAGGTAAGAGAGCTTATGGTACATAATTTATTATGAAAACTTGAGTCATCCATATCGGTGAGGGATTGCACGAATATCTTCTGTGACTTTCAGGTGCTCCTCTGGGTTTTAAATGTTTGTCGCAAAGTATTAAGAGAATATCTTGTCTGCTATCTTTAGATTTGTCTGCCACTATGCGCATTTGTCAGTGCAAATTTGTCAAATGAGAAGGTTCCTTAAGATGCTAGCTGCAATTGTGGTAGTACGAAATGCATAATCTACGTTTTTAGATGGCTTTGCTCTGCAACCAGAGGTCATCTCATGTTTAAAACTGATTATTTGGAGAAGCCTGAGGTACAATGTGCATTGATTTAATCAGATGTGGTTGTGCAAAATGATTTTTCAATTTGTCGACATTAAAACAACATTTATTTTTTTGATAAATTAAAGCTTGATCAGGAATTATAAGCATGTCAGTTGCAGGGATCAACTATTTTGAGAAATTTCATGTGCAGCACAACCATGGATACACTAAATAAGATTGAGTGAAATTTTTTTACGTATTGCGTTTCTGGAGAATGATGAATTTGCCTCTGATGAATTTTGTTTTGTTAAGGTAGAAATGTGGCCTGGCTTGTTTTATCATCTGATGTGTTGATGCATTCAATTAGACTACCCTTATTTTATTTTATTATTATTATTTTTATTTTTTTGTAAAGAAAAAAAACAGGCATTATATTTAACAGATACATATCATTTGCATGTATTTGTGCCAACCATTGACTTTACTAATTAAGGATTCTATATTTCCTCAGTGAAGATGGATCAGATGATGAATTTGGTCTTGAGAACGGGAAGATTTGTGCGTGCAGGATAATGTAGCTCGATCTCTTCATTGCGGGCTTTCATGTAAGCTTCAATTCGAACAGAAAGGCGACATATAATGTGTTTGCTCGAATTGCCGTGAGGCAAAATCTAAGTCATCTCCTAGCTCGATTGTTGGAAGATGGGAAAACAAATTTTGATAGGTTGTGTTGTGTGTGATAATTCGATGGTTGGTCAATTTGATCTGTTACAATCCATGTTATTGATCACATTCCAGTTTTGGTGCTATGTGCTTTTCCATTATCTAGTTGATATTCATTCTTCCTTGTTTTTTCAAGATTAGTAAAAAAAAAGTTAAAAAAGTTTTATAATGTCACTCAAAAGTCAAAATATCATACATATACACACTACTATGTCTTTTTTTTTTTTTTC